GATGGACCCCGAGGCGGTATATCACTGCAGTGTGGGGGAATCCCTCAGCGACTTCCTTTTACCCCTCCTGCTGCCGCTATAGAATGGTAAAAATAGCTCTGCCCCTTATTGAGCTGGGCTTTTGTTTTTTTGTCTCCAAATGACAGCGTTGGTCTTCAATATAAAGGATAATTTCCTCACTGTCTCATATGTGAATATGTGACACTGAAGTACACAATCATTTTTTTATTGGTATATATCACATACATTCCCTTGAAGATTTTCTTTCACTTACACTAAAATAAAATAAAAATATTTTATTTTTAAGAATTTTATTTTTTCATGTGACATGACATTTGCCCAGTTTTTTTGCGTTGGCCCTTATCTTTGGATTTTAGGAAAATGCAAAGTGTGTGTGCAGGATGCTTTATTTATTTATTTTAGATTAGATATCATCCAACACAGGCCTCAGAAGAAAAAAGGAATATCTCTCCACCTATTTGAGTGCAGAAAACAATAGACAACGTACAATAAACAAAGCTATAGATGGATTCAACTGGTACTCTTAGATTTTTTTGATTTTCTACATATACTGCGCAAACATCGCTATAATGAACTCTTTTGTCCATGATAATTGTGTAGTGGACATCTGATACCACTTCGTGTAGTGCTCCCTCTTCATAGAGCTGCCCTATCCCTTACAGCGTAGAGTTAGAGCCGGCAGATTGGCGGCGAATCGTGCGTCCTCTCGGCCGGCCGGTCGGGCAGCGCAAACCAGGAAGTGCCAGCTCCGCTTACTCTGAAACCCCCGTGCTCATCACTTCACCCTGCAGCGCGCTCTCTCCTGAGGCCAATTACATTCCATCAGGCAGGAAGCCGGATGCCGGATAAAAGACACGGGGGTATATTAAGCCACACTCAGAGCCCACAGAAGAAGAAAAAAAGATCTGCTCTTTTTTTTGCATGGCTGGAAGACCATATAAAAATAATTAGGGTCAAAGTTTGTGCATAGGCAATGTCTGATTCCAAGATGGATGTAATGCAGCGGACAGTCTGTGGACACCTTGGTGACTGCATTGTACTTTATGGACTTGTTTTCTTACTGGTGCAAATAATGAAAAATAAAAAAAACAGGCAGCGGGAACATTTGGAGAGAGAGAGAGAGAGAGAGAGAGAGAGAGAGAGAGAGATCCTTTCACCTCTCCATAATGACAGATTTTTTTTTCTTCTTCTTTTTGACACCCACACGCAGCCGTGGGTGTACGGATGACTAGCTTGTTCAGCCTGTTACTGCAAACTACATTCACAGTAACCGACTCTGACCTTTTCCCCACGCGAGGAGCGCCAACCGTCTTTAATGCCCCCCCCCCCCCCCACCCCCCACCCATAATTCTGATCATGAGGTGCGGATCACGGGCTGGTGTGAAGGCCTCGGTAGCTCCCGCTGCATCACGTTTGGTCCATTCCTGCGAGAGGACGGTCGTGATAATGAAAACACACCTACACACGGAGCCCCTGTTTTGCACTGAAACTTTCTCAATAGGAGTATTCAAAACATTTTGAATGCAGGCAAACACTGTCAGCTAAACTTTCATCTCCACCTCCGAACCTTACGTTAAACCAGTTGTCCGACACCAAAACAGCCTTTTTTTTAAAAAGCTCCCCTCACATCTTTCAAAGGGATCCATTTGCGAAAGTACAGCACACATAGATCTATTTCGCCTCGCTCTGATCTCGTCCTAGCATGCGTCGGAGGGCTCCCGGCGCGCAACCACAAACAAACCTCAGAGGTAATTAGTGCGCCTTTCTCAGACGCTTCAGCATCTGCCAGCGCAGGAGGCCCCCAGCGCCCCGCGAAAAAGGCGCCGGAGTGAGCGGACTCTGGGTCGACCTGCCCCGCCAGGTGGATTCCTCGGGGCCGGAGCCAGATGTCGCATTCGCGAGCTCTCGCGGGGTGTTTCGATTGGCTCCCGCCTCCCCTCTCTGCCTCTCCCCCATCCTCCCCCCTCGCTCTCTCTCTGCTCTTTTCTGTTTCGCTCAGGCGCTCAATAAATCTTTAGATCTTACAGTCCTCCGCTTCCCTTTGCGTCTCCGGTCTGGCGTGTTACGTCCAGTTGAATTCCCAGGGCTGCAGAGATCGTCTTCGACTCGGTCTGCATGGGTTAATGAAATTAACTCGCAGGCTCAGGTGAATGTTCAGTGTGAGGCAGCAAAACTTTGCTCATAATCAGCAATATTGAGATTAAGAGGCAATTATCGGGGCGATGAGGGGGGGTTGGGTCTAATATTTCACGTTTTAAAAAGCATGGCTCACCCCAGCGTTATCAGGATTCCCTTTGGACCCTCCGTCTAAGATCTCAAAATATAGTACTGAGCGGGCACAACTATTATTAGTAACTAAAGGAGATTTACCTTCTGTTACAATGCAGATTAAAGTGAAGAAGCGGTGACTATCGGTAGCGATATCATTTAATTGCTTATATCCATAAAGATCCGGTGAGATTCTGTGCTTGATTTGTGTACAGTCCCTAATGTAGTACTTCTTTGACCCGCATAGACTAAGCATCTGTTTCTATGTTTGATTCCGACCCATAACAAGGGTCAATCACTCTTCTCTCTGTTCCACATTGTCACATTCACATGCACGCATATATTACCTTGTAATAATAATAGTTCTGTCATTGACTCACACTCATTTTCTACCCGTTCACCTCCGCCTTAGCCACCGCATTCGATGCCTAAACGTGGCCCCTTTGCGCCACAACTTTTTTAATCACACCACGCGCTTGTGATTCACCATAAAGTGCTGTACTATTCTGTTTTCCCTTCTTTGTGTGAGAGAGAAAGCGTCACATCAGGTCTAAAATGTTGGCAGCGTTGTTCTGCAAATCTGCGCTCCTTGTGGAACAGGCTGCATTGGATCCGGGCCTCCTTTCAGCAAAGCAATCAGTACTTGTCAACTTTTCAAAACACGTTTTCCCAGTTATGCCCGTGGGCGAAGTGGATTCGGCAGCTGAAGTTTTACAGAGATTAATGCACGATGGAGCCGGACAAAATAAAGAAGTAGAGAGAGAGAGAGAGGGAGCAGCATTTGTCGGGGGCTGTGGTGTTTAGTGTCGCTCGGTGGATAAACCACGGCGCTGTCACAGTCGGGACAAAATCGCTCATTATCCGTTTCCTGCTGGAGAAATCCCTCATGCTAAAGCCGCAGACGGGCCCCGCCGTCGGATGAAAAAGTGTCCACCAAATGTCAAAAAGATGGTGCGAAAAAAAAAACCAACAAACAGCTAGACCGGTCTTGTTTTGGCTGCAACACTGGATCACAACCGGGGATGGGGGTTGTTCATCTAACGGGCACAGACGCACGTGCCTGCTCCCCTGGCGCACTGCTTGGCGATGAGAAACAGACCTAATTAATTATCTATTTACGTGTGATCTCCTCCGTCTGATTGCATGGCCTTCGTGTGCTCTGCGGAGAATCGCAATCTTGGCTTGCAAGCTAACGTTAGCGACTGAACTGTTGGCAAACTAAGCTTTCATTCATAAAACAATAGGGTTTATTGTAAAATATAAGATATTGTTTTAAACATTTGTTTATTTACTTACTACTAATTTGCAACTAACATAGGTGACAAAACATAAAGCACAGACGGAGATGAAGTAGGAAGATTAAGGGTAACAAGATCAAAAGTGTGAAGAAATAATGATGAATATACCAATTAATACGCCATAATAAATGTCAGAAAAGAATGAAAATGCCAAGTCGATGTCTTCAACTTGCTCAGTTTACTATCGTATAAGACAATAAAAACAGCAAATGCTCACAACGGAGTCGCTGTAAATTGGTAATATGTTGTCTTTGCTTGAAAAATGTCACTTCATGTAAATATAACCTGGGCACCAATTATGTCCCACCCCCCCAAAACTAACTACTAGTATATAAATGTAAATTCTATGAGTTGCTTTGGTTGAAGTTGAAATACAAAAGAACAGCGAGCTCTTGTTTCAAAGCCCTGAGCGCTGGAGAGAGACTGGAAAGTCAAAGCCAGGAGTCACCGGGTGAAGAAACCATTGAGTCATTACTATTGATCAACACCCGCCCACACACACACACACACACCTCCCACCAGATGAATAGTGATCCTTTTCTAATATGGTGCAGTAAAAATCTAGCATTTTGTTTTCCCTCTTCAGTAGATCCGGTCAATAAGGAACTGGCGCTGTGTGGAATGATGCTCCCCGCACCGTGGTGGCGTGCACGTACAGAGGTCGAGCTGCAAAACAACTGCACCCCTGACTGGCCTGAATTGAACTCGACTGTATTGTTGTAAAAGCACGCAGGCAATGGCCCGTGAAACGCGTGGTCACGTCCAGCTTGCAAATTAGCAAATCCAATCAGAGTGCCCTGATAGCTCTCTGCTCAGTGGGGGCCTCAAGGGAGGACACGCCTGAAACACACTGTGGCTCCAGAGGTTAACAAGCAGAGCTTTCTTCTTGCTGCAATAAAAAAACATTTCAACTGAGAGTGAGGAGTCCATGTTGTCCTCACTCCATGTCCCGCATATGCATTTGCATGTGGACTGTATTGATTGCAAAAAGAAAAAAAACACCGTTGCAGCTCTAATCTACCCTCTGTAAGCGAGCCGCTGTCTGAGCATTGTTGGAAGCTGTATTGTGTTTCTTCCTTTCTCTCTTTTTTACACCCGGCCCGAGTGGTTCTGCTCGTGTAAGCCAGCACAGTGTTGGCAGTGTGTGTCTGTGTGTGAGATAAAGACGTTTTTTATTGCTTACAGGAAACCCAGCCCATCCATCTGGGCATCACATAATGGCCCGCCAGGGAAAAACGACAGGATTTACATCAGGACTTCCCTATTACAGCGAGGCGGCCTGTAGGAAATCACACTCTGTGAGCGCCAATGTACAGAAGCAGCGGGACCGTGTGTGCAAGAGTGTGTTTGTGTGTGTGTTATGCGGCTGAGTAAACACATGAGAAACAGTGTTCAATGTGCAGATTCACTCACCATGTTGACTTCTGACACCATGTCTATGCTGGCCACGTCTATGCTCATCCCGACTGCAACAGGGGCCCCTGGAACAGATTAAACATGTGTATATATATACATATATTTATTTATATAGGCCTACACCTCTGCACCTGACCGCAACACTGTGAATGGCGGCAAAAAATAAGGCGTGGAGGGACATTTGATGGAGGCAAACGCAGCAACACATACCTCCAAAGTCCGGCCTCAGTCTGATGTCGTATCCCTTCAGTAGTTTGTCCACCGTCTCCTTCACGAAAGACATGTTGCCCGGTTCATTGACTCTGGAATGACAGCAGGAACAAGGGGGGAAGAGGGGGGGAGAGAGAGGACATCACCTTGACTTCCGTGTCAATCAACCCGGGCAAATAACCTTGACTTCACAGAAAAGACGAAAGCACTCACCTCTTCGCGCAGCACACAATCGAACCGACGACCAGCGCGGACAAGACGCGGAATTGACGGACCCTGTGCAGAGCAAACATCACCCCTTCCTGTTTTTGTTTTTTATTCCCTCCCTCTCTCTCTCTTTCTTTTCCCCCGTTGTTTATAACAGCAGCAACAGTCGAGACGGTTCCCGGCGCTCTTGAAAATCAGAGTAAATCCATTGATTGCCCGAGAGGAGAAAGTCGACTGAGAAAAGGGGGGGTGGAGGTGAGGGGGGGCGGGGGGGGGGGGGGGG